CCCTTTCTTTTTTTGACTTGGCAGACATGGTTTTATATTAAAGACAATGTGAGAATTGGTTGGTGGGAGAGTTAATTTGGATTCTGCTGTGCATTGCATAAACATCATGGAATTTTGTTGTGATTGGTTTTTTTGAGAAAATAATTGTTTAAGTCTTTGATTTGCGGCATGACTATGTTCTTCAAGGAAAATATGCCTAGAGAAGTTAATTTTGTTTATGAGAATTAAGTTGTCAAGACACTTGCTGAATTTATTTCGTACACTCAAACCTTGTAGTAAGATTGTATTTAATACATGTAGCTAGATAAGTCTCTTGCTGAAGTTTTCATGTGAGAGAATTGGTGACAATTGAGAGCTACCACACTAAAAATTGTAATAAGCGTTCATTGAACTGAACCTTCTTTTCAGAATAACATTACACGGTTTGTGGTAAGATGGTCAATTTAGGATTTCATTTTGAGCCTTTGAAGCCACTTTGAGCTAATACACATATATAACCATTTCTTTCCATGAACCTATGTTACCCCTACCTCCTCAGATCGGAAAATAGCCTATAAGCATCTATTTTAACTTTTATGCTTTCAAGTGTATTGTAGGTATTAAATGTTCATTTGAGAATAACAATAATGAAGAAAGGGATAGGAGTTGATAAGTGTTCAAGTGAAGTGATAAAACATAAAAGAAAAGGAAAAGAAGAAGAAGAGGGGGAAAAAATGAAAAAATAGATAAAAATGAAGAAAGGAAAAAGAGGATTGATGTTGAGAATTGAAAGGTTGAGGAACGCATTGAGTAAAGGATGTAATCTATTGAAATGTTTGATAAGATGCCTAGCTAGATACTTGAAAGTTCTTGAATCTTTAGGCCCTTCTTTTTATATAGCCCAACTTAACCCTCATTACAACATTTTGCATTGGCTGTTTTGATCCCAAGTAGGTTGGGGAAACACGCCTTCATCATGATATTTAAGCCCTAGGTCGACCTAGAATGTAGAATACATGTTTCCAAACATATTTTTTCTGGTTTTTGCACGAGATTTCCATGGAGAAATAACGATCTCAGTGAAGCTACGAAGGAACTCGGTTTTGATGATTTCAGTATCATCTGATTCATGTAATTTACTTTTTTCATTGTCAAACAATTCTAGGGTTTAGATTTCCTTTTCATGAATATGTCTTGAGATTTTCTTTATTAGATTTTTCATAGATTCGATCAAGTTTTTTTCTATTGAGCAATTGAAATATTTATTTGAGTTTTATTTCAATCAATTACTTTATTGGTGTGATTCTTTTTTGCATTATGCGTAAAGTATATGGTCGATATTGAATCTTATTTCAATAAATAAATGTGGGATTGTGTTTTAGGAGATTTAAACTTTGGAATTACTTTAGATTCAATCTAGGTTTCAATGACATTTTTTCGATTAGAGAGTTAGGTAGAGTGCCTCTAATTGAGTCATTAGAGTGAAATTATTGATGTTGAATGATCCAAACCAATTGAGGAAATGGTGCTTCACTAATTCAAAACTTGATAATTAAATTTTAATTCGATAAACAAATTATTTTTCACACAATTCACGAGAACCCTATTTTGTTGAATTCTTTAAGCAATTCATCCATCTCCCCGTGGAATTGACACCCTAGAACTATACTACAATTACCTTGTTATTTTTACATAAAAAATAGACTTTTGTTCATATATAAGTTGAAAGTTGGAAAAATTATTTATTCGGACAAGTTTCAACAAGAAATTGAACTTATATTATTATTATATGGACCTCAAGTTAGAGAAAGGTAGACCAGGGTGGCCATTCGCTGTCCCGCCCTTCAGAATTTTCAAAAAGTGGGACAGGAAGGAAACAGGTACAGGGCCAAGTTGGGCAAGGCGATACAACATCAAAACATTTTTACTTACGTCTTTTTCATTTAATTATTTTTCAATATTGGTTTTGGTTTTTAAAATATAATTTAAATTTCATAACATAAAAATAAAATAAAGAGTAACTGACATAATACTCCTCAAACGTTATCCTACTTTGTGGAATACCCAAACGTTTCACTTTGACGCAAAACTCCCTTAAATCATCCAAAAAAACTGTGGAATACCTCCTACTGTCAAAATCAGTTAGTTTAGTTGAAAAAAAACAATACAGAAAGCTAAAACCATTAAAATCTGAAAGGATAAATCCATTTGTTCACATCCTTGTTCCGCATCAGACTATTTCAGTAATTTCCTCTTCTAAAAATTTCGAAATACAAAAAAATATCATCTTCATCTCGGTCAAAGAGAGTCATTCAAGAAAACAGAAGGCAATACAGAATGAACTAAAAAATGTTTATCTCCAGTTAAGGCAGTGGAGAACAACTATTGCTGGTTAAAAAACCGCAAGGTGCAGATAAGCTAGTAAACACTTAGCCATCCCATGAGAGAAAATATTCAACGGATACATTTATTAATGTTACTCTTCTCTAAAGAAAAGAAAAAAAAAATTGAGAGAGAGAAGAAAGAGCAAGCATTTTCTAACCCCGGAATCCCAATACATATTACACCACCTTCACTAGCACTTAAGATTGTTTTATTCAGAGGTCCCGAAATTGCTCTATTAATTCTTGCCTGGTGCCCCTTAAGAGTGTAACAACAACATTACCAACATAATTTATAGCTAATCAATCTAGTAATTTTCCTAAATCTATCAAAAACAAAAATTTGAGGGGAAGATAGAGAAAGCTCATTTTTTATGATTTCAACTCTTGACTGGATGACGGTGATGAAGCTATCAGTTTGGAGTTAATATTAATGGCTGTTTTCAATTTACTATAGTTGGCTACTTCTCCTTTGTTTTTCAAGCAAATAGTACCCCAGGGAGAGAAACGATGTAGACACACGGATTTGCCCTATGAGTTTTTACTGATTTTGGCTCTCTTTATTATTTTTAATGCCTAAATTGATGGACTTAGACTGTGGGGGTTATTTCGCAACTTTTGAACGATCTGTGATTCTCCAAAATGAAAAGTTATGGGATATTCCAAAAACATGTAAACATTAATGAGGTATTGTGCCAATTGCTCTAAAATGAAATAAAGAGATTCGAGATGAGTTCTGAGATTTGAGGACATGACTATATATTTTGCCATCACTATATTTAGTTGAAGTTGACTACATGACTCGATCAAATCCAAAGTAGTTAAGAGTCCAAAGATTATTTCATCATTAAGATTCGTATGTAAGTTGGGGAAAAAGAAAGAAAGATGCTTTATTTAAGTTGAAGATAGAGACTAATGTTTAATTATACAACCATATTTTAAGTATACATTCGAGATTTGAGGACATGACTATATATTTTGCCATCACTATATTTAGTTGAAGTTGACTACATGACTCGATCAAATCCAAAGTAGCTAAGAGTCCAAAGATTATTTCATCATTAAGATTCGTATGTAAGTTGGGGAAAAAGAAAGAAAGATGCTTTATTTAAGTTGAAGATAGAGACTAATGTTTAATTATACAACCATATTTTAAGTATACATTTATCTTCAACTATTAATTTTGTTAGTTATTCTGATGATATCTTCTTTATAGATTTTGGTTTGTTTCGGACTTAATAATAGCTAAAGTGAGGAGATAAATTATAAAAAAAGGAGAAGAAAGTTCAGCACAAGGAGAGAGGAAGCCACTCAAGAATTATGAGTATTTATACATGGACTTGGGGAACTATTGTTACCACTTACCACTTTTTCTCTATTACGTCTTTCAGGCAGAAGATTCGTTTCCACTATTTTATCAACTCAAAGTACGTAAGGCTTTAGATGGAAGAACTTAATATAACCATAAATTAGCAATAGTATTTTTTCAAGTTACAAACTCGCAACTGATTAACTTGAATCAGAATAAAGTCAGTCCAAATTCTAATATTTCTGAATAAATACAGTTTACCAAATTAGCTGTAGTAATTATCATGCATATCACATCTTTAATTACATGAATTCAAATGCTATGTTGAACAATTGAAATTGTCAATGTAACTCAATCTGTATCTTGGAAACTGCAATCACAATCCTTTAGATTCACAAACTTATCCTCTTTCTTCATAAATTCCACCAAAAGTTTCATATCCACTAACGGATGATTTAACTTCTCTATGCATACCGAATCTAGAGTGCTGACTTTTGAAAGGGACAAGAGGTCAAAGTATGTATACTAATTTGAGGAATTCAATTCTAGAGAGTTAATGATCAATTTACATTATTTCTTAATTCGTTAATTGTGTATTTATTTATTTTTGAGATGTTAATTTTAGGGGCGGAGAAACATGCCTAAACTCAACTTAGGCCGTCCTGATGAAAGATGAAACATGCACACTGTTTGTGGCTCGGTGTACACCTCCCTCTTTGTCTTGTATTGTTTGGAGTTCTTTTCTCCCATTTTCTACGTCAAGGGTACAATGTTGGTGAGCGTGTATAAACTGAAGAAGACATCACAGACTTGAATATAAAATTGTTCGTTCATATTCCAGAATTTTCCACTGCCACTGGCTTGAAAAGAAGCTCCTAGAATGGTTGCTATATTGAAAGCCATTTGTTCACGAAATATTCGTTGATCAAAACCACCGCAAGTGTACAATTCGTAAACAAGTAATAAGGTGAACTTTGAGTCCAAGTATCGCCCCAGAGAAATTGTACTAGCTTAAGTTTGAATTAATTTAACCTAAACTATTGAACTTCATCATTTTTCCTATAAATAAAATGATCTAATTCTAAATGCAAGACTTAATTTAACTAAAATTAATGCAAGGTTATAATCTAAATGCAAGTTTTATTAAAACATGCTAATGAAAAGCGTACTAGGATCCTGAATCCCCTTATATCAATCCCTTTTAACTCGAAATTTACAATTTGACGACACAATTCAATTTTGAAGACAAATATTCCTAATTTATTTAATAATCTCTCTCGAGTAGAATTAATCCTATTTTTAGATGTGACCCACCTATATTTTTATAACAGATGAGAACATATAAAAATGCATTATTGGATAGCGGTATATTTCAATTCCCTATCGAACTCTACGACAATTGACACAATATCTAACTTATTTTTCATCTCTCAAGGGTAAAACAAGTCAAAATATTCATACAATTAGTGATCTAGTGAATGTAGAAAAAATTAAATCCATGCCAATTATTCAAGAATCCAAAACGTGTTTTAAATGTCAAAAGAAAATAAAATTCTAAAGTTATAAGTTCATAATACGAGGTTCATCGAAAATCCTAGCTCAAAATAATTTAGCCAAACATTATATTGAACCAACTTTTTATATAAAAATTGCAGCAAACAACTTTTCCTTTTTTTCCCTTCCCTATTTTCTGTGTGCGCGTGTAAAAATTTCTCCAGATTCAGCCACTTTTTTGTATGGTGTATATCCTCAATTCTCTCCATCTGCATGCATGTGTGTGTGTGTGTGTGTATATATATATATATATATATATATATATATACTCACACACACACACATCACGCACACACATAGAGATTTCATCAATTCCACCTCCTTCTTTCTGTATGGCGTGTATTGTAACGCTTCGACCCGTACAGATCAGAATGTCACTATAGCCATATAGCCATAAATTTAAAATTAACTATACTTTTAGCGGAAAGTATAAAGATTTTAAGAATTTATTTAATTATTATATATTTATATATAAAAAAAATTAATGACACAATTTAATACTAAAGGAAACAATTTCAAAGATGCATTTTGAATGATTTCCATGCATGTATTTATTGTTGACTTGAACATTAAAAGCGGGAAATAAAAACAATTGTCTTGCATTCAGGCCTTACAGGAAATGCTTTTAGAGGGACTGATACTGTGGCCATTTTTTTGGAATGGATATTAGCTAGAATGGTTCTTCATCCTGATATTCAAGCCAAGGTTCAATTTCAACTTGACACTATGGTTGGGACTAATAGAACAGTGACTGATTCTGATCTCCCTAAATTGCCCTATCTTCTAGCCATTGTTAAAGAAATTCTCAGGGTGCACCCTCTTGGTCCCCTCCTTAAGCATACTCTACTGCTATTTGTTCATGAGTTTAGATTTACCATCTCATTTTTGTTGTCCACCATATTCTTGTTATTTCTTTCATTTTAATCCATCATATACTTGTTATTTCCTTACATGTTTCTTTTTGCTATGTTACAGCATCGTAGACACAATCCAAAAATTTCTTCAAACTGCAATCAGCTTACTACCAGTTCAGAAAAAGGAATCATTCTCAAATGTGTAATTCCAAAATTTTCATCAAAATTCCACTTCTCAGGTAAGCAATGGCTTGCCCTAAGTAGCTATGTTAGAGATTGAAAATGTTCGAAGCCTTGTCGGCTTATATAATTGCAGCCTGGTCGGCTTATATAATTGTAGCCTGGTCGGCTTATATGATTGTTTATTTGGTTGTTGTTTTAATGTTAGTTTTTTAAGTTAGTAATGAATTGTATAATACATTGTTGAAGTTTGCATTTATGCTGATTTCGCCGGGGGGCATAATTTCCAGACTTCGCCTCAGGCCCCGAGAATCACAGGACCGGCTCTGCTTGCATTACACAAGCGACAATTGTCAAAGTAGTTTAGTTGCATAGCTATCGGCTCCGAAAATTCATGAGATTTTAATGTAAAGTAGGAAACTCCTTATTCTATGATATCCAAAAATTGACTTCCGTCGGCAGCATTTGAGTTATTTAAATATTTTTCAAAACCTCATAGCAACTCAGTTGAAGGTAAATCAATATAGTTCACTTAAAATGACATAGAAAATTCCAAAAAACAACAGAATGACATGATTTCAACTTTATTCAGTAGCTAATCCCATTGGTTTGATCCAAAAATTCCAATTAATGATTGAGTTATGAATTTTTGAAACCAAGGGCGGAACTGAAAACAGCAACACTATCTATTGAGCTTTACTTTAAGTGACATATAAAATTCTACTGACATTGGATTGACATGATTCCAAGTTTATTCAGTAGCTAACCTACGAAGCTATCAAATGCCACTGGTTTTGTCTAAAAATTCCAATTAATGATTGAGTCACAAATTTTTATAATCAAGGCAGAAGCTGAAATTTAAAAGAAAACAACATTAAATCGCTAACCCTTTTTCCTCTTTTTTTTTTTCTTTTTTTTTTTTTGTAAACGGTGTTTCGTAAGGGAATTAACCCATGAATTTGAAACTCAATAGATATCATCGGTGCATTTCATTATCAAATTAAATAATTCGAATTGTAGATTTATACCGTCGCACATAGATGGATTTTCGGCAAAATCCAATTTCTATAGCATTATCATAACACGTAGAGTTGAAGAATGATCATTCAAACTATAGTAGTACCGAAGCACCATACCCGGAGATGCCATTTCATTCAAACTTTTAACAAAAAATCATAATTCGAAAATGAAATAACATTTGCACCTCTACTTACCTTGAATTTTCTTGGATATAAAAGAACAAAATGTGTAAAAATCCTTTCATCTTCACACCCTTTCTATTATCTTAAACTTAACTTGACATGAAGTATATTTATGAGAGAAAATAAGAGTAAATTCGGATATGAGGTGAGGTGTAGTGAAAAGGTGACTTCTTTTCTTGTAATATTCACTTTTAATGAAAAACTAAATGGGAGAGTTGTACTATCATTCATTTTTTGTTAAATTGAGTGTTTAACTAAAAATTTAAAGAGTTTTTAAGGCATAAAAAATAATTCTTACAAAAAGTTTTATGAAAACATTTATATAATGAAAATAAAGGAAAATGAACTATTCATATGCTTTGTAACCTATCTTTATCAATGCCCAATAATAAAATAATTATTTCATCCAATTAACTTGATATAATTGTTCTTAATGTGCAAATTGAGGAGTTTTTACCTAAAAAATAATTTCGTAGAATAGTTTAAAAAAACATCTACATGGTGATTCAAACCTAAGTTCCCTATATGAAATACCATTAGATAACCATTATGGCAACCAGTTATTCTTTAAATCTTTGTAATCAAATTTGCTTAAACTTAACCTTTTAAATTGTTGGGCTTATAATTAACTTATGGCTTGTGCTTTCATGCTCTTAAATGGGTTAAGCTTCCATAGCTTATTTCTTAAATGGGCTAGGCTCGTGGTACTAGATCATCACAAAATAATAGCCTAATTCATTTTATTTCTTGGACTTCTACATGTATGTTTTTATATAAAACCTCCTCTAAGCCACCGAATTTTGTGTGTATAAAAAAAAAAAAAAAAGAATAAGTCCAATTCCTTTTTAATTTCAGCCCAGTTTTAGTCCAACTACACTTCCATTTAATGTTCAAGTTGAGGCCCATTTAAGTCCAATGCGTTATTTACTTTCACGACTTTAATTCTTCCAAGTAATGCACTTTAATCCTTAAATTCAATTAATTGTGCAGTCCTTCAATTTCTGAAGTGTGGACCTTGATCCCAAAATTGTAGATTTCATCCAATTTCATCATTCTTTCTTTTCCAATTGCCCCCGAAACTGGTTAAACACTGAAACAATAGAAAATTACCCTAAGTTAAGTAAAATTAAATGATTTGATGACATAAAAACTTATTAATATAGTTCGAATAAGTGCACAAAATGCACTTATTAAACACCTCCAAACTAAAACCTTTGTTCATCCCTGAGCAAAACAAAATAAAACTTAGGTATGTCACATATTACTAACCCAAACAAGTCACAAATAAATGACTCGATGTTGAATTGCTTACCATATGTCTTAGGTTCAAATTTAAGCATCACTTTAGAAAGATCTAAACAACATAAATATTTTTATTTTTTTTACTTATCCGATGCTTGACTTAGTGTATGTGTGATTAGCCAATATTGAACTCACACCCACATTAGAACACAACCGATCAAGTGTTGTTGATTTGTTCATAATCTCAATCCTCTTGTGATCAGTTTTTCCTCACACCTCTCATGTAAAAATCATTCCTTATGCTTTTCTCTCCAATCCAAGGTATTTCTAGCATATATGGGTTTCTAAAAGTCAATATAACACATTTTTCGACACAAAGTCATCAAAATTAAATGCTTGTAAACCTAGAAGGAAAATGGTAAGTCTTTCTCAAAATAACAATGCCAATATCTCAAGTTCAAATCTTAAAGTCTTTATCGGGCAAATCTCATTTTTCATTATTTAGATCCTTTTTTAACATCTCCAGTGCAAAACTTCTATCCATTAAGCATTTTAAATGACCTCTATAATGAGCTTTAGGCCGATGACCCCCAAGTTAGATGACTATAGGGTACTAAATTTTTAGGTACCCTTACAGAACTTAATAAAATAAAAAAAAGTGATTCTTGAACCCCTTTTATACTCATGTCACGTCGAGGATGGAAGTTTGATTTTCCCAAGATGTATCTTAATTTTTGTCCTAATTGACTTGATAATTCAAGGCAAAAAGGTTACGAGGAGGGGTAGAAGATGTATCACTTTTTCTTTTGATATAAGAATCTAACTTTTCATTTATTTTTTTAACATCTTATGTGCAAAACTTTTTTCCATTAAGATTTTTAAATGATCCCTGTAGCGAGCTTTAGGCCGATGACTCCCTAGTTAGATAACTATAGGGTACCAAGTTTTAAAAACCTTTACATGTTTCATTACTCTAGTCATAAAAGCTACGAAAAGAAGTAAAAGATGTATAAGATTTGATTTGACTTGATTTGATTTTTTAAGATGATCAGTGCCAATTTTAGACTCCTTATCTCAAACTCCTTCAACAAATGCTGGGATTCGAGAACTCCAAACCATCTCACTTCTATGAAAACAAGCACTAAACTTTCCACCCCAAACTAATTTTTTAGCAACTTGGTTTCTATATTAAGAATTTGGGGATTTTTTTAAAACCTAGGTCAACAACATCAACAATTAAATCTAATTAATTAAGTCATGCCCCAACATGAGTGATAAGTCAGTATGGCTATATGCTTAAATAATCAAATTTAACATGGATAAGTTTTCAAGTAAAGGCACAAGTTACGATGTTATCCAATTCTAACTAAATATGTACTGATTTCAAACAAATAAATATCATCATAGGTGACAAAATCGTTCAATGCTAATTGGGCAATATTTTTTTTCTTTTGTTTTTTTTTTCAATTTTTTTACAGTTATATAGACCCGATCAGCAGTTGAAAAATAAATATATATTGGTTCCAAGTATCCTAAAACTTACCCATCCCCAAACGAAAACATTACATTGTTCCCGTTGTAGAATAAAAAATAATCAAAGTAAATGGGTAAGGATCAAAAACTCTCCGGGATAGATGCGGATAAGTAGAATGATCAAGCTGGTTTAGCAGGTAGATGTTATGACAACTGCCACTTTCTTTGATGCTAGGCTTTAGTTTGTTGTTTCAAGAATTTAAATAAATATTAGTGGTAGCATATAAAGTTTAAATAATTGCAATGAATTCATACAAAGAAAATTCTAATTTTCTAAGAAGAACTATCTAACAGAGCATCATCCCTGCAAAAATCCTATAGCTAGGAAAGATAAGTCTTTCAAAATAGTTTGGAGATTGAAATCTAGGCGCAATCTCAAGATTGCATATCACATCAATGTGGTCCTTATAAAATGCTAGGATGTTAATGATGAGCCTAAATAAACATGTCTAAACAAAATGAACTTAATCAGTAAACATGTCTAAGTTACTAATATATGTTTTAAAATATTACCTAAAATGTGTTCAAGACAAACTATTAAAATGCATGAGTTCCTAAATTAATGCAATCCCCAAAACTACTTGCAATAATTAATCAAAATAAGTGAAAATTGATAGAAAAATGAGTTGCATCCCATTAAGCACTTAATTTAAAGTCTAGAGCTCGACTTTTTGGTGATATACTTAAGGTGATTTATTTGAAATGTTTCGCCCTTACACTCCTTGCAATTTCCAGCCTTGCATCCTCTTCTACCTCTCCATATGTTGTCTCTACCAATAATTCCTTTGCATTTTGGTTTTCTCTTCTGAAAATTTTGTTGAATGGATAGCTGATCTTCATCAATACATTTACACTCATCCAGGTCTAATTGTTGTTTGGATGTATTATGTAATTTAAAAACTTATTGTTCCTTATCCACTCTCAAGATTAACTCACATCTCCATATCAATCAAGATTCGACCTGTGGTTAAGAATGGTGGCCCTAAGATTATTTGAATATCACTATCTTATTCTATGCCTAGAACAATGAAGTCTACCAGAAAATACCAATTTGCCAGCTTTGATGAGTATATCCTCAACCTTGCCTCTTGGATATTTGATGCTTCTATCAACAAGCTACAATCACATCATCATTTTTTTTTTTTGCTTCTCCTAATCCCAATTTTCTATTTATTGATAAAAGTATTAAGTTAATACTTGTGCCTGTATCACATAAAGTCTTAAAAGAACCAGCTTTTCCAATTGAAATAGGTAAAGTGAAACTCTCTGGATCCTTAAGTTTGGGAGGCAGTTTATTTTATAATCTTACACTGCTCTCCTTTGTTAGTCCCACAGTTTCAAAATTTAGAAACTTTCTTCTCTTTGATATCATGTCCTTCTAAAATCTTACGTAGCTTGGAATCTGCCTTATTACATCTGTGAACGGGATATTTATGTGAAGTTTCTTTAGCACATTCAAAAACTCCTCAAATTGTTTATCTAACTTGTGTTTCTTCAATCTTTTGTGGGAATGGGATAGGAGCTACATATCCTCTGAAAGGATTAGTTGCCTTAGCTTCTTGATTGTCTGTATACTCTTTCATATTTTCTCGATTGATTGTTCAAACTCATCCACTTGTTCCTCATCTGTTGTATGCACTTTGTTCATAATTGTAACTGAACTTTTGACAATAATCTCAAGCAACTATACTCCACTTCTTGTTGTGATTAGTTTTACAAATGGATCCTCAATTATTACATCCTTTAAAATACTTATGGTCGTTACCTGCCCCTTGGGGTTAGTCTCAGTATTGCTTGGCAGGGTACTTGGTGCCCTGCTTGATATAGCAAGTCCCATCTGTCCCATCTAAGTTTCTAGGTTCTTGATTGCAACACTCTAATTTTGAAGGGTTGTCTTAGTCCTTCTCATGAATTAATTTTTGCCTCCATGTAGTGCTTTGTCTTTTCCATAAATTTTCCTAACATTTCTTCTAGCGAAATTTTCTTTTCAGGCTGTTGATACAGATAGCTATACAATGCAATGGGATTTTGATTACTCCAAGAAAAATTCGAGTGTTTTCTCCAACCAAGGTTGTATGTATCAGAATATGGATTATTTTATTGGTGTTGACCTCCTTATACATACTCTATATTTTGTGCAAGAATTAGACAAATTGCTGCAGTATGATCTGACCCACATTTTTCACAATTTAGCAGCTTGACTTGTATTGCATTGACTGACTATGCTATGCTCACAACTTATGAACCAAATAATCAATTTTTACAGATAGCGATGTATAAGTGTCTACCTCATATACTCCTACTGCCTTTTTATGAACAACCTGCTTAGAAGCTCACATGGTTGTGGTAGTAGCCACTTTACCAAACAATTCCAAGGCTTCGTCAATTGTCTTCATGGATAATGAGCTATTGGATAAAGAGTCAACTATGCTTTTGTAAGATAGAAGTGAACCTGCATAGAAATATTGCACCTGGAGGCCTTTACTGATGCCACGATGAGGACCCTTCTAAGGCATGTTCTTGAATATATTCCAAGCCTCATCAAATGATTTAATTTCTCCCCGTCAAAATATGGATATGTCATGCTTCAATTTCGAAATCGTTGTTGGTGGGAAGAATTTGATGCAAAATTTTTGAGCCAAACCATTCAAGTAGTAATACTGGCAATTGGTTGTGAATCTAACCATTCTAGGGTTCTATCACGTAAAAGTATGTGGAAATAATCTCAATCTGATCACATCATTTGAAACCCCTTGATATTTAAAGTGTTAACACATTTCCAAAAATAGAGAGACATGTATGTGTGGATTTTCATTTGCCCTACCATAGAATTGATGTCCATTCTGAAATAAATGGATGACACTGGCTTTCAGTTGAAAGTTCAGTTACTCAAACAGAGGATATACGATGCTAGATTGTTTTTGAATAATTTGTTGGAGTCGTAAAGTCTCCAACTAGCATATTCCCTTCATCGACCACTTCTCCTTCATCCACTTGAATAATCGGATTATTTTGTACATTAGCCATCTCTTCTTATTGTGCTTCTTTTGTTTCTCTTCTCCTACTGTGAAAAGTAAGTTCGATGTTTGGATTAGTTGGTATCATTTCACCGTCCTTCAAATTTCACATAAACTGCTTGAAAGAGAAAATAGAATCACTAAAATAATTTGATAAAGAAAAAAATGAATAACATAAAATAAAACAAAAGAAAAAAGTTCGAATTAGTGCTGAGCTAAAGGGATGTAAACTCAAACACAATCCTCGACAACAATGCCAAAAACATGTTTATAAATTATTGGTCAATCAAAACCAACACGAGTGAACGGTTCGTCAACAAGTAATAAATTAGATTTTGAGTCCAAGTATCGTCTCATAGAGATTGTACTAGTTTAATTTCGAATTAAATTAGCCTTAACCGAAACAATTGAACTCTATTATTTTTCCTATAAATTAAATAATCTAATTCTACTTGCAAGACTTAATTTAACTAAAATTCAATGCAAGGTTATAATCTAAATTCAAGTTTTATAATAATATGCTGATAAAAAGTGTACTAGGATCCCATATCCCCTTATATCAATCCCCTTTAACTTGAAAATTTACAATTTGATGACACGATTCAATTATGAAGACCAATATTCCTAATTTGTTTAACAATTTCTCTCGAGTAGAATTAAACCTATTTTTACATTTGACCCCCTCATATTTCTATGACGGAAACGAACATATAAAAATGTATTAATGGATTTGTATATAATTAAAGATCAAGTAAAGCATAGCAGCAGATTTCTATCCCCTATTGGAATCTACGACAATTGACAGGATGTCTAACTTATTTTCTATCTCTCGAGAGTGAAACAAGCCAAAATATTCATACAATTAGTGATCAAGTAGTTGTAGAAAAAATTAAATCCATGACAATCATTCAAGAATAGAAAACATATTTTTAAATGTCAAAAGAAAATAATACTAGAAAGTTAAATGTTCATAATATAAGGTTCAACAAAAATCCTAGCACAAAATAATTTAGCCAAGCATAATATTGAGCCAACTTTTGTATAGCGAAAGTGCAGACACAACTTTTCCCCTTTCCTTTCTTTCTTTTCTTCGTTTTCTGTGTGCATGTGTAAAATTTCTCCAAATTCAGCAACCTTTTTTGTACGGTATATATCCTCAATTCTCTCCATCTGCATGCATGTGTGCGTTTAGCCCCGTTTTCTTTCTATGTAGATTTAATCAATTCTGCCTCCTCCTTTTTGTATGGCATGTATGTTTTTATATAAAACCTCCACTAAGGTGTCGAATTTTGTGTAAAAAAAAAAGGGAAAAATTCACAAACCATGTTTTAACTATGCATAATTCAAAAATCATATGTCAAGTTTAATTATGCAAAAATCAGGTTTTTATTTGATTAATTAAAAATATTTATTAAATAAAGATAATAACGTCACATTTATACAATTAATGGTCACATATTCATAATTATAGGTCGCGGATTTATTTACCGATCATGTATCATCAAATTAATTGGTCACAGATTATTTCGTGATTACAAATAAAAAATTTTGTAGGTTACAAATTATTTCGAACTTATAGATTATTCAAATTACAAGTCTCAGATTGTTACTCACATATTATTTTTTAGTCACAAATTATTGAATTTTAAGGATACAGTTAAATAATTAGTCACAAATAATAAAATAATTGGTCACAAATAACAAAATAATTGGTCACATATGCCAAACACCCAACTCTGATATTGATTCACCACAAATTTTTGGTCATAGACAACTAATTAGTTGGTCACATACGCCTAATTAGTTGGTCACAAACGCCGCCACCACCTCAAAAACACAACAAAACATGCCGAAAAATCACACGACCACAACCACCACCGACACCGCACCAGAAACACCACCGCACATAATCAACTCCTCACCAGCACCACCAAAACAACCACTGTAGATCCCCATAGCCGCTAGATCGAAAAAGCCTAAATCCCCTCCCCAAAAGTGCATATCCAAAAAGAGAGAACTGCAGCTTCGTCGTCGATTTTAGTGCTAACAACACAACAAAAAGGCCACCACCAACCATATCTGAGCCCACCATATACCCACCATGACGCCAACACCACTACAGCCACACCCATCACCACAACGCACCCACGACGCACATCTCACAGCATCTGTATTAGTACTAGTGCACCATTGTCGCCTTCGTGAATAGAGAAGAAGCGGCATCGCCTCGCCATTGCAATCGAGAGAATCGCTATGCATGACGACGTCAATGGGTCAACGAACCACACCACCACCATCAACGGCTAACAACAGAGGAATGGGTCACTGACGTTGAAGAGAGAGAAGGAAGAAAAGGGGCCGAAACCATCACTTGCAGCATCGCGATGCTACTGCAAATGCCCACCCCTGCTGAAACTGAAAGTTGCGTCGCCTTCTCCGTCAGCACCGGCGCATCTCCTTCATCGCCCGTTGTAGAGTTCAAAGGTGTCACTAACGGTGAAGAGAGAAGGGATAGACAGGGATGGAAAAATGTTTGCAATGGAATGGGTTGAAATGATTAGGGATTGGAATTAATTTGGGGATTTGAGGTTGAGTAATTATATATATAAACCTGATTTTTGATTAATTGAACTTTGGACCGGGTTTTTTAAAAGTGATCTCCAAACACCTGCCATTGTCTAATTTCCACAAATATATATATATATATATATATATATATATATATATATATATATA